TTTGTAGAGACTTGCCTTGTGCCCTAACATGTGGTCTATTTTTGAGAATATTCCATGTGCACTTGAGAAGAATGTGTATTCTGCTGCTTTGGGGTGAAATGTTCTGTAAATGTTAATTAAATCCATAAGGTCTAGTGATTCATTTAAGGCCTGCGTTTCCCTGTTGATTTTTGTCGTGATGATCTGTCCAATGCTGACAATGGGGTGTTAAAATCCCCCACTATGATTGTGTTGCTNGACAGTGGGGTGTTAAAATCCCCCACTATGATTGTGTTGCTGTCAATCTCCCCTTTAAAGTCCCCCAAGAAATTTTTTATATATTTAGGTGCCCCTATATTGGATGCATAAATGTTTAAAAGGGTTATTTTCTCCTGTTGGATTGATCCCTTTAGTATCATATAGTAACCATCTTTGTCTCTTGTTATGGTCTTTATTTTGAAGTCTGTTTTGTCAGAAATAAGAATTGCTATTCCAGGTTTCTTTTCCTTTCCATTTGCATGGAATATTTTACTCTGTCCCTTCACTTTTAGCCTGTGTGAGTCTTTTGCTCTCAGGTGGGTCTCTTGTAGACAGCATATATTTGGGTCCTGTTTTCTTATTCATTCAGCTACCCTTTGTCTTTTGATTCGGCCATTTATTCCGTTTACATTTAAGGTTACTATTGATAAATACTTATTTAATGCCATTTTTCCCCTTTATGCTGATGTACCTTTCTTTCACTATTTCTTCCTTTTCTGAGAGCAGTCCTTTTAGCATTTCTTGCAATGCTGGTTTGGTGGCACTGAACTCCTTTAGCCCTTTTATGTCTGGACAGCTCTTTATTTCACCTTCAATTTTAAATGATAGCTTTGCAGGATAAAACAATCTTGGTTGCATGTTCTTGCTTTTCATTACTTTGAGAACTTCATGCCACTCCCTTCCGGCCTGAAGATTCTCTGTTGAGAAATCAGCTGTCAGCCTTATGGGGGTTCTCCTGTAGGTCACTGCTTGTCCTCTATTGCAGCCCTTAATATTTTCTTTTTGTCCTTGACATTTGCCATTTAATTATGATGTGTCTTGGAGCGGGTCTCTTTTGGTCCCTCTTGTTTGGAACCCTCTGTGCTTCCTGAACTTGTGGGGCTTTCTCCTTCGCCAGCCTAGGGAAGTTTTCTATCATTATTTCCTCCACCAAGTTCTCTATCCCTTGCTCTCTTTCCTCCCCCTCTGGCACTCCTGTAATGCGAATGTTGTTTCGCTTCATGTTATCCGAAAGCTCCCTTAGCCTGTCCTCATGCTTTTTGAATGTTTTCNCCTCATGCTTTTTAAGTGTTTTTTCTTTTTGCTGCTCTGATTGTGTGATTTTCTCTACCTTGTCTTCTAAGTCACTTATTCTATCCTCTGCTTCATTGAGCCTGCTTTTAATTCCTTCCAGTGCATTCTTGATATCAGATACAGCATTCTTTATCTCTGTCTGAGTTTTATTTATGGTATATATCTCTTTTTTCATGTTTTCAGTAAGGTCCTCGATCTTATCATCTAGTGTCTTCTGAAGTTCCTTGAACACCTTCATCATCCATATTCTGAGCTCCATTTCTGATAACTTGCTTAACTCCATCTCATCAACGTCTTTTTCTGATGATGTTTCCTTTTCTTTAATTTGGGGGTTGTTTCTTTGTCTCCCCATTTTGGTAGTTCTTAGTGTTTGTATCTATACATTAGATATATTTGCTGTCCCCAGTCTGTGGGAGAGGGTTTTGTCTCGTGGGACCAGTGGAGCCCAGAGGTGTGTTTTCCTTACATTTCTGAGCTCTTTGCTCTAGGTGTGTCCCTCTTGTGGGTGCTCCTTTTGTGGTTTCTTTATGTTCTCCTGTTGTGTTTAGGTCTAGATTGTTGTTGATCAGTGTTTGGGAGGACCCTCCTCTCAGGTTTGCTAACTGTGTCTCAGCCCCAACCTCGTTGTGTAAGCTGTTGTACGGGTGCTGGCAAGGCAGGACAATACACAACTAAACTTCCAGGAAATAAGAGGTATCTTACTAAACATCTTGACAGTCACAATGAAAACAACCCACGTGAAAATAGAACTGGGAGAGTGAAGGGAGAACACACACACACAAAAATGCTTTAAAAAAAGAGAAAGAAAAGTAACGCTTGGAGAGAGAGAGATGTGTATTGTTGTTAATACTGGTGAAAATTTAGCAAATAATAATAAACTAAAATGTAAAAAATAGAGAAGCTACGGGGAGCTAACAGAAGCAGAGAAGAGAATCTGAAAGAAGGGCCAGCAAAAAATTAAGGGAGAGAATTGGAATAGGATAATAGTTGAAAATGAGAAAACAAAAATACAATAAAGAGAATAAGAGAAACTAACAGTCGAACAAAAGGACAGGAGGACAGAAAGAAGGATAACAAAAGAATGAAAGAAAAGTAGGAAAAGGAAAAAAAAAAAGAAAAAAAAGTTATGCCAATGGATCGAGAGGAGAGAGAGTGATATAGCCCAGGCAGGGAGGAAGTCCGGTAAGAGATTTAGGGCAAACTGTAGAGGAAAGTAGTAGACTTGGTTATAATGATAAAGTCCCAGTCATGAAGCAGGGATATCAAGAAAGTCTTGATATTAGAAGCCAGGATAAAACAAAACAAAGCAAATAGCCAAATCAAAACTAAAAACAAGCTAAGCAAGACAAAATTCTTTTATGAAAAAGAGGGAAAAAGAATTTAGCTAAAAAAATGTTTAAAAAAAATTATAAAATTTAAAAAAGAAGAAAAAACGAATTCTCTCCCCTTTCTCTTCTTCCTAAGGAAAAAAGAGAAAAAATAAACCCACAAACAAAAAACAAACAAAAAAACCAAAAAACCAAAACAGAACAAAACAAAAAAACAAAAGAAAAAAAGGTAGTCAATCAGGTGAGTTTTTTCTGGGCAATTTATGTTGCCTGCGGCTCACTCTTTTGTATGCTGATTTCCGTTGTCCTCGGAGGTACTAGTGTATCAGCCAATGTGAGGAGCCGTCTAGGTTTGGCTCTGGTGTCCTTAGGTAGATGGTTGATCTGAGGCTCTCTGTGGACCCCCTCCTCTTGTCAGCTATTTTGCAACCTTGTAGTTGCCTGGTCTTACTCCAGAGTCTTTTGTAGAGCCTTTAGGGTGCAGGGTGGCTAGTGTAGCTCAGGGTGTCACTCCTCTTAGAGGTGTCACTGTCAGGCGCTCACTCTGCGGGCGTTAGTCTCTGCTCCACAGCCTGCTCCTCAGTCCCTACCCTGTCCTCTGATTGTAGTCCCCCAGGCTCTAGCCTTCTGCAGCTTCAGATTGATTTCAGCCTGTTGCCTTTTCTGTATGTGCCGTTTCGGCAGCCTGGGCTCAGTGTGTTCAATTAAAAACACATTCTGGTGAGCCCTTTGACTCCCCAGCCCCCAGCAGGGGTTTTCAGCCTTTCCTCCAGTACCCAAACAACAGCCCCTGAGAGTCTTATTCCTATAATGTCTTCCTGTGAGCTGCTCTCCCTTCCGCCTCAGGACTGTGCCCTGCGGGGTTGTCTGGGGCTTCAGTGAGAGGGACCCGCCCCTTTCCTGTTGGGGGCGATGCTGGTGGCTGCAGGAGAGGCTGGTGGGCTCCACCCCTCCCTGCTCAGCTCTGGTTGGCTGGTCGTCCCTCTGACCTTCTACTGTGCAGAGGGAAATCCCAGCCTCTGCTGGTCTGTCTGTGCAGTGCATGCGGGGAAGGTGGGAACTAGTTCCGCAGTCAAACTTGCAAAGGCACAAAGCAACACAGGCAGAAAGTCCTCCCTGCCAGGTCCTGCTGCCCGCGCACCAAGGCACCCAGCGGGAGGGGACCCAAAGTCAGCTCCATGCAGCTGCCCGCACCGCTAGTCTCAGCAAAGCGGGAGCGGCTTCACGCACCACCACAGCGCCCCTCAGGGCTGGTCACAGATCCCAGCCTCTAGGCACCGGGAGCTCAGGACAGGAGGGCACCCTCAGGACTGGTCACAGATCCCAGCCTCTCCCACAGGGAGCTCAGTGCGGGAGGGCTCCTCCCCTCCCCTGCACCACGCAGATTCAGTGCTTTCTAGGGCTCAACACAGTGCTCCACAGGGAGGCAGAGGGTCCCTGTGTGCGGCTGCTCGGCGCATTCCTCTGGTCCCTTACCACTGAGGTTTCACAGACCTTGGGACAGCCTTCCCTATGGTGGGCACCCTAAGCACTAGACGCCGTTCGCAGCTTCCACTAGAGGCTTTGTTTCCTGGGAAGGCGCAGTCCCCTTCTTGTGGACTCACGGCTCCCCTGGGTCCCTCTGCCCTGTGCACGGGGTGCTCCTTCCCCTCTCATCACTCAGAGTGTGGGATCCCCACTTTTGGATGCCGTCCGCACTCCCGCGAGGTGGAGCTTGGCTGCCTCCAAGCCTTGGGGCTCGGAGCCCAGCACAGGCTTCAGGGGGACTCCCCCTTTCTACGCCCCCCCCCTTACCAGACTCCATGATATTTCTTCAGTGCTCCCCACTCGCACTCCGTCCACTCAGGTATGTTTCTCTGGGTTTTTTAAGCTGGTTACGTAGGATTTTAGGAGTCAATTGGGTCTGTGGCTGGGAGCCGGGGCGTTCTGCTGCTTCTCACAGGGCCACCATCTTCCCTCCTCTGTATACTGATTTTCTATGTACTTGTTTTATCAATCATTGAGAGAAGGGATTGAAATCTTCAACTATAATTTTCAATTTTTCTATTTCTTTATAGATTACATTTCAAAACATATGGTCCACAAATGTATCAATTGCAATGAATAGACTGGGTGGAAAATTACTGCTATCAGTTTTATTTATTTAGGTAGTTAGTTATTTTAAATTGAACTTATTGTGATTGCATTTGTTAATAGAATTATACCAGCATTATTTTAAAAGACTTCATTGGAATATATCTCTGGTTTGTCCTGTAACGTAGGCTGTTTGTCCCATCATCTTCATATACAAAAGAAACTTCTACTTGCAGCATTTTATTGTTTTATCTTTTATCTAATACATGTTATTGTTTTGCTTGGCAGCTTCTATGTTTTTGAAACAGGCATTTGAAGGAGAATACCCTAAACTATTGCGTCTTTATAATGACTTATGGAAGCGCCTTCAGCAGTACAGCCAAAATATTCAAGGAAAGTTTAATGCAAGTGGAACCACAGACCTCTATGTTGACCTACAACACATGGAAGATGATACACAAGACATATTTATACCAAAAAAGCCAGATTATGAGTATGTTTGTTTAATTAAATCTGTTTTTTGGCATATTAAGGATTTGTGTTAACATAATATTATGCTGGGATAGGTTCTCTCTGTGGTAGGAAAAAATTTGAATATACTCAAAATTGAACCTGAAAATCTCTTAGATCACTCATGTTTAGGAGCATCATTGGAAAACAACATGTATCTCAAGTTTAAAGCATCCACCTTTCCCTCCTATATCGAAAAAGTATTATTTTCAAATTTTTATTTGTATACCAAATCAATTGATTTGCATACCTTTAAACACTAGAATCATATTTAGAGTGCAGAGGCTGACTCAGAAATTGTTATCACCTGCCTTGTATGAAAAGTGTTGGATAGATTCATGAGTCGTTTAAATGTTTGTTTCTCTTTCACTTAAAAGTACTTATAGTTGAATTGTATCCACTGCAGTAAGAAGTTCTGACAGGTAAAACATAGGAAGCAGAAGTTTTGACTGGCAAAATAAGTGAAACAAGGGTAGGGTAGAATGATTGAATGACAGTATATTGTTTTGTTTTTTCTTTTTGAGAGTGTTTATTAAAGCTGGGGTATGAAACAAAGAAGGACTTAGGCTAGAAGAAGCAACAGGAGAGAGCCTAGGTGGGCTGCTTTGGCTTACTGAGAAATAATAGTCACAATGATAGAAGTGAGCAGAGGCAGGTCTGCTATTGGCTCACTTAACAGTTAGAGAAAAGAGGGTCTTGGAGACAGGTTCAGGGGGTTAGCCTGGGATGAGCTGCTGCTGACTATTGCTCCCCTGGCTTCAAGTCTCATGGGGACCTTTAGAGTTTAGGAGATACAGGCCTGAGAGGGAAGACAGGCAGGGGGGTGCTCCCGGAGGGAGAGCACCATACTGTTTCCTTTAATAACTCTTCTGTGAAAACATGGAGATTAGATGAGGGCTAATGGAAGAGGGGACAAGAGGACTGAGCTCATGTATTGATCTACAAAGATCTAATAATATATTAGGTTTTTCAAAAAGTATATAAAATAGCATATATACCATCATTCTATTTCTGTATTAGTTTTTAAATCCATATGCTTACACTTAAAAAAGGCCTGGAAATACATACTGCGAATCGTAAGAGTGGTTTATCTCTAGGAGGCAGAATTTTTATTTTGTATTTTTTGCTTTTTAAATTAAATGGAGAGAAAAAGTCACTGTGTTTTGACTAATGGGATGCCATTGTCACGTTTTGGAGACTAAATTCCTGCAAGTAGTTAGTGGGGAAGAGGAGCTATGATCCATATTTAAGAATCCCCAAAATGATGAGCTTACAAGGAAACAAATGCAGTGGGTTTTTAATGTTCTTTTGAGAAGTAAGGCAGAGAAGAAAACAAATTTGACCATGTTAGCTGAGCCAAAGGAAAGTTTTTTGTGTGTTTTTAATGATAGAGGGAGAGGTGAGAATGTTTGGAGGAAGAGATAGGAGATGCAGAAAAGAAGTAAGGAATGGAACAGGGCCCTAGGTGAATCAGAATGTAGAATTAAGGCACAAATAACCAGGTTAGCAATTATCATCCAATATTCATGCTGAATTTTCAAGAGTGGTAATTGCTTTGAAGAAAATAAAACAATATTATGTGATACAGTGTCTTATCTATGGTGCTCAGGGAATAATACATCTATAAGAAGGTGACATTGACCTGAGGTGAAAATAATATGAAGGAGTCAGCCATGGAGGATTTTGAGTAAGATTTTTTCAACTAGAGAGAGAACAGCAAATTTAAGAGTCCTTGAGAAAATTACGATGGGGAGGTTTGAGGAATAGAAATCTGAAAACTCGGTGAATAAGGAAGAGAGGGGTATAAAACTGGGTCAGAGAGGGAAGAAAAAGTAAGATCATGTAGGGCTTTCTAGGCCATGATAGGGGTTTGGAGATCATTAGTTACAATGGAAACCAGTACTTTTAAACAGAGAAGTGATATGAAATGATAAATATTTTTAAATTAGTACTCTGGCTTCTACATAGATAACTAAGGGGGGGAGTCACCACAGAGAAGGGAAATGGGGAATGTAAGCTATTTTGTTTATTCAGACAAGAGATGATAATGGTTTGAACTAGGATGAGTGGATGAGACGGTAAGAATTGGTTAGATTGATTTAAGATTCAGTTGAGAGGGCAAGCCAATAGATTAGATTTGAGAGGAAAAAAAGAATCAAGGATATGCTTGGACGAAGTTTGGGAGAAGACTGTTAAGACTGGAAGATATTGTTTTGTTCATAGAATAGTGTTGAATTAGGGCTTTACTTTTGGAACTGTTGAATTAAAGATGCAAATAGAGTTATTGAAAAGGCAGTTGAATGTGAATCAATGCTAGAAATACATTTTTGGGAGTCATTATATAGATTTTTTAAAATCATGGAATTGGAAGAGACTGAATAGGGAAGATATATATGAAGGTAAACAAAAACCCTGGCCTAAGACAGGCACTCCAAAATTCATAGATTGGGCAGAAGAATGGCCACCTGCAACAGAGACTAAGCCAGAAGAAAATGTGAGAAGAAAAATTCACAATATTGTGGGACCCCAAAGAGTGAATTTTGTTTAAGTTGAAGGCAGATTAGTTAACTGTGTAATATGCTACTGAAAAGTTGAAGATTAGGACTGATCATTGATTTCTTAACAGCAAAATAAAGTTTTTGGAGGCCTAGATGTGAATGGTAGATACAAAAGCATTATTAGAATTGATTAATGACACAGTAGGAGAAGATCGATTTCTGAGCTGGAAACACTCCACTGACCCACTCCAGTGAAGCTGGTTAAAACTGAAAATAAGTTAAAGCCTCTGAAAATGATCCTAAAAGCAAACAGCAAATGAAAAATCATTTACTCAAAATCTGTGAAAATTCAGTAAGAAAGAATTCTGTTAAGAACCTGTAATATTTGAGCCAAAACTATTTCTTCCCTCCATTCTCCCATCTCAGCAAGGCATTCACTCTACTTCAGACTGCAGCAACAAAGAACAAAAGGCTTCCTTTGCCCTGTCAATTTAAGAAACTTCCAGATCTTTAGAGAAATTTTGTAAGAGTTTATTTGAGCCAAACTGACAACATATTCCAGGGAGCAAGACCTCAGATGCTCTCGGGAATAACAGATCTGCAGCTTCTTTCATGCATTTGAAATTAAGGAGGAGTTGTAAGGAAGACTGGAGAAAGTAAGGTGGATGTTGTATTACAGGATAGTTAACGAGATTATGTGCTCTCTTGAGGGTTGATACCTCCCTCAAGGGGTATTACTTATGGTATTTCAAAAATGTGTAACCTAGAGAAATGGACAGGGTTGCCTTAAAATGTTTACCTAAAGAAGCTATAGGCCTGGGGCATAACTACTCACCATGACCAGTCCAATTAGGAATTTATGATCAGATTACTCTGTGAGGTTACTTTCCATAGAACCTCTTTTTTCATCTACAGCCTCCATCTCCCATCTGGAGGGCTTTCTTTCTTGGAGGAGGAGAGCCTCCGCATTTTTCATTTTGCCTACAGCTTCCCATAGCTGAGTCTAAGTTCAGGCAAATGAGATCAAGAGATGTGTGCTCCATATTGTGCCCAAGCACCACTCAAGGAGTGGCATTTCTACCTTGTGGCTCCCTGAAAATACTGGTGTCTCAATAAACCTTCCCCTGGCTTTTGAATAGTGGTTCGTGCCAGGAAATGCAGGCTAAGAGGACCTCAGGCTGCTGCCCCACTTCACCAAGTTCCTAAAGTGTTAACCTGAGGCTTTTTCTTAAGACAGTTTGATGCTGACCAGAATCTGATATCTTAAGGGCTTAATGATTAAGGAAGGGAGTGGATGGATAGAAAGGAGAAAGGACCATGTTAAAGAAATGGAGTTTCTGTGCAGTTACAGATTTTATTGAAAACAACAATCTAAACATCTAGGAAGCTCAACAAACTCCAAGTAGGATTAACTCAGACCACAAATAGACAAGTTGTATTCCATTTAACTCATTTAAAATTTACTTACATATTTGTTTATTTTGTATCACTTTCATTATCATGTAAACTTTGAGGGCAGAGGATTTTTCTGACCTCACTGCTACATATCCTGCACTTAGGAAGTACCTGGCAAATTGTGGAGTTAATAATATTTGTAGGAGGGAAGGAAATAGGGGAGAGTAGGGGTGTGGGGAAATTATTCTTAAGCTTGGAGATCTTAGGGTTGGAGCAGTTCAAAATGTTGACTCAGATATGGAAGCTCCATAGTAGAGCTAAAAAAAGGTGGATGGACTTCTGACACAGGACAGAAAAAGTTGGAAAAGTTACCTGTTTTGACATGGTAGCCACCAAGGATCTTTATAGCACTGGAGACCTGGAAGAGTGTTAGTACTTACAATTCAGTGCTAAAATTTCTGTGGAAGAGGGAAGAAGCTGCTACTTCTTTTTAAAATTTATTGGGTTGACATTGTTTAATAGGATTATATAAGCTTGGGGGGGGTGTATAATTCTATAATAGTTCTTCTGTGTATTGTATTGTGTGTGGGAAGAAGCTTTTAAGGTTAGTAAATGACAGGAGGAAAAATAGAGAAGACATTTCAATAGATAGCATGGACTTCAATAGAGGATTGCTTCTGACAGATTTAGACACTAGTTCTTCACGTTTTCATTGTGGTCTTTCTATCTTTATCTGTTATAGAAGTTATAGTTAGCACTTTACCTGCATATGTCTTTACTAGAGTGTAAAACATTTTTAAATCTGTATTTTCCTAGTGCGTAACAATGACCTGGTACATGGTATCCCCAATAAATAGGTGTCAAGTGAAATATTTATTGAATGAGAAAGTGTTAAGAGATAACCATGGAATTATGATGTAGGAGTCAAGAGCATTCTGACATCTAGGTCTTATCAGTTGACCAGAAAGGGTGGGAAAGGAGAAGGCCAGGTTTTATATACATGAAGGAGCAGGCCATATGTTTTCAAGGTTAATATTTAAGGCAAAGGGGAATTTATTTTTAAAAAAGAAAAGAAAAAGACAGTGGTAGGGCAAAAGAAAGAGAGTGGTAGGGCTGGTAAAAGGATCCTAAACAGGAATGATGTGAGAAGATATGAAGTTAATTATAGGAGTAAGAAAGCAGATGGAAATAATGATAGACATTTGATAGTAATTGTCGAAGGAAAACTATAAGGCCCAATAATTGGACTGCTAAATAAAAATCAACACAAATAACTGAAGACATGGGCAGAGCAAGGAGGAAAGAAGTGTTTAATAGGTTATATTTTTTGTTTATAAAGAATATTATAAAACAAATTAGCTTAGAACTCCAATTGGGAGTATTTATGTGACTGTAGGACTTTAACAAGTACTTTTTATTTTCTCCTCCTTGTTACGAACAGTTTTGGCGTGGGGAGGCTGGTAAAAACCTAGACCTGCGTGTGTACTTCCCTGTCAGTCAGGACCTTTATGGGAGGTGGTAGCTTTGGGTGAGGAAGGTTAAGCTAGTGCAGCGATTTTCAACCAGTGTACCACAGGAATTTTTATTTTTTGAAGAAATCCTCTATAGTCTCTCTCCTTTTTAAATAATGTTTATTGATTGATTAATTTTAGAGAGGGGGGGATGGGGAGAAGAAAGAGAGAAAGGGAGAGAGAGGGAAAGAGAAACAAACATTGATTTGTTTTTCCACTTATTTATTCATTCATTGGTGGATTCCTATATGTTCCCCGACCGGGGATCAAACCCACAACCTTGACTCATCGAACAGCACTCTAACCAACTGGGCTACCCGGCCAGGACAACTGCAAGAATTTTTAAAACATGCAATACCTGACTATTTAGTCAGAGGCACTTACCTCTTTTTCCTTAGATTGTCAAATAAAAAAATGACAACAGCAACACAATAGCTGTCTGGTGTGAATCCCGGTCTTGAACCATAAATATATAGGTCATATAATAAATAGAGTTGCATCTTATTGGTCATGTTGCATAATGAAGTTGCATTTGATTGGTTAATTCTTGATACCAGAAATCCTTATGTACAAGTATAGGCACCTAATTTTTTTTAAAGTCACGTTGGAGCAAGTAGGGTAGGTAATTACTATTGTTGTTGGGTGGGTGTTTTTTTGTAAGTCAATCAAAGTTATACCTATTTTTTGTCAGATAGCAAAAAATATATTTTTTTGGTGTACTGCAGAATTTTGGCAATTAGTTTATGTGTGTCATGAGAAGGAAAAGGTTGGAAATTGCTGAGCTACTAGAACATGTCTCTGCAGACCTGATACTGTATAAAGACAGGATTTGCTAAGTAAAGGCATAGCCCCATTAGAATTAAGACTTTACAGTGTTATTCTTTGAGTTTCAAGTGACAAACTTTGCTTCAGTAGGTACTGGTTCATATTATATTACATTTATATGTAGGAATTATATATAAAATAAAATGTTTAGTCCTTAATAAATGTTTGATTATGAGATGTATTTCTGTTTATACATTTTTAAACAAAATGTTTTTTTCTGCATATAGAGTTACATTTTATTTAGGAGATATGTTTTTTTAAGTAAAGGCACTTTTATAGCCTGATATAATAGCACTTAGTTTTTTATAATTAAGCCCATTTTTAATAAATTTTGTTTCCACAGCCCAGAAAAGGCTTTAAAAGACTCACTACAGCCCTATGAGGTTGCTTATCTATCAAAATCCGTATCTCGGCTCTTAGATCCTGTCAACTTGGTTTTCCCCCCTGGCGGTCGTAATCCTCCATCTTCAGATGAACTGGAAGGTATTATTAAAACTATAGCAGGGTATGTATTTTGTACATAATGGCATATTAAAATGCCTGCCATATTTGTTATGTATGATAGCAGTATATTTTTAATTTATCTTAAATTATTTAAGTAATTAGTCCTTCAGTTAAATCAGGAGTTTTATAGTGAATGAGTGCACATAAAGTAAGTACTTGAGAGTCCAATTAATAAAACCATTTAAATACAGTATAAAAATAGTCTGTTTTAATTATTCTGTATCTTGTCAGTGATGCAAAGTAAACCTAATTCTTTATGCCATAGTAAATTTCTACTTTTACACAGGAAAATATAGGAATACTTTTATAAATCAAGAAGCTAAAGCATAGAGGTTAATGTTTCTTATCTTAAATCCAGAAAGTACTTCATGGCATACACAGGTTTATAATCCTGACTAGCCTTCTTGTGTTTGCTATTTTAAGCTTTCTAAGTGAATGTGACAGCTTTTAAAATTCCCAAAAGGGAAGGTATCCTAACAGAGATGCCACCTGAATGCTAGCAGACAATGTAAATTATACTCTTGCCTTAGACATTTACAGTTACCCAGATTAATTTGCAATCGCAACTATCAGTTCCTGTCATGGTTAACAAATTGTCATAACAGTAGGTCTTTACATTTAGAAATGAACACTTTGAGGAGTGAATAGTAGTTAGGCAATATAGGATGGAAGTATAGAAATGGCTAGATTCTTTTAGACTGTAAATTTGATGATGATGATTCTGAGGCCTGTGAAAATAAGACTAAAAAGACACAGGTATTCCCTAGCTGGTTTGGCTCAGTGGTTAGAGCATCGTTCTGCATACTTAAGGGTTTTGGGTTAGATTCCTAGTCAAGGGCAGGTACCTGGGTTGCAGGTTTGCTCCCTGCCCCGACCATGTACTGGAGGCAACAGTCAGTGTGTCTCTTTCACATCGATGTTTCTTTCTCTCTCTCTCTTCCTCCCTCCCTCCCTCCCTCCGTTCCTCCTTTCCACTCTCTCTGAAAAAGCAATGGAAAAAATATCCTCTGGTGAGGATTAACAACAACAAAAAAGTGAACATTAAAGAAATTATGTCTCACTATTGTATGAAAGGACATTTTTGTCACACACAGTATGAACTAGTGTTGTTTCAAAGTCCATTTTCTTCATATAGAGAATCTGCTAAGTGCCAAATTTATTCTGCTACTTCAGAGACAATAATTACTGCTTTCTACCTCTGTGGGTTTTCAAGCAATTTTTAACTCCTAGCATTCTTTCACTACTTTGTTTTTGATTGGTAGTCAACTCAAATGTCCCAGTTAATTCAATATTAAAGTTGAAAATAAACATGACAAAGAAATGCTTTAAGAATTCAAAATTTAAATTAAATTCTTACCTCGCAGGGTTTGGCTCAGTGATTGAGCATCAACCTACGATTCAGGAGATTGCAGTTCGATTCCTGGTCAGGTCACATGCCCAGGTTGCGGGCTTGATCCCCAGTTGGGGGCATGCAGGAGGCAGCTGATCAATGACTTTCATCATTGATGTTTCTATCTCTCTCTCTCCCTCTCCCTTCCTCTCCCTGAAATCAATAAATATATATATATATTTAAAAATTAAATTCTTGTTATGCTTTTGATATATTTAAAAAGCTACCCAAAATAACGTGAATGGGCATAATTTCTAGAAACTGAGTGTCTTTATGTATCACGTGTAATTTATATTTTTAGCCCATGTCCTTTCAAGGTCATCATTTCCATTCAAGAGCTGTCATTTCCTTGCAGATGTCCTATGCAGTGCATCTAATTGCACTTATCAGTATTAACAAGAATGCTACTTTAAAAATTTGTACACAATTTACTCTCATAATCACAGCCTGAACCCACATATGGGATGCTTTTATTAATGAGAAACTGGTCATTAACCAAGCCATCTCAAAGTACTTTTTTCTGATGCTGAATTTAGGAGGGAATATGAAACAATGCAGTCAGTCTTTTCTTTTTTTAATCTTCACCCGAGGATATTTTTTTCCATTGCTTTTCAGAGAGTGGAAAGGGGAGAAAGAGAGAGAAACATCTATGTGAGAGAGAGACATTGATTGGTTGTCTCCCACACGTGCCCTGACCGGGGCCGGGGATCAAGCCTGCATCCAAGGTGTGTGCCCTTGGCCAGAATCAAACTTGAGACCCTTCAGTCTGAGGGGCAATGTTCTAACTACTGAGCCAAACCGGCTAGGGCTGCAATCAATTCTTACAAGCAAGCAATGAAATCTATAAAAAGAATTACCATATTGCTTATTGGTTTTAGGTTTATATGTTGTTCTTTACTTTGCTGATGAACAGTGCTGCTAATAATTAAAGTTTGTTCTTGTTTTCTCCAGCGAACTAAATGTAGCTGCTGTTGATGCAAACCTCACATTAGCTGTGTCAAAAAATGTGGCAAACACCATCCAGTTATACGGTGTAAAATCGGAACAGCTTGTAAGTGGTATCCCTTCTGTAAACTCATGATTTTGTTTAAAATTCCAAATTATACAATACTATACTAACTATAAATATTGAATTGACTGAATATTTATTTACTGGCATTTTTACTTTAGTGAACTTTTGAAACTTTCTGATGAATTTAAACCAGACAAAAATGTTATATCTGTTAAAAATTGGCTCTTCTACCATTGTTATACTTTCAGAATGCAGACAGGTTTTGTTTTGTTTTGTTTTTTATTATTGAATTTATTGAGGTGACAGTGATTAGTATGAACATATAGGTTCCAGGTGTGGGTTTCTATGTTATAAGATCTATATATTGCACTGTGTGCCCACCATTCAAAGTCATATCTTCTCCCATCAGAATATATTAGCACCCCCCTTCCCGACCACCCCCTTCCCTCTAGCAACCATCACATTGCTATTTGTGTCCACGAGTTTCAATTTTATATCCCACATATGAGTGAAATCATATGGTTCTTACCTTTTTCTGACTTATTTCACTTAGCATAANTATAAGAGACAGTCTTATGGCTGAGTAGTATTCCATTGTGTACATGTACCACATCTTCTTTATCCAGTCCTCTATCACAGGACACTTTGGTTGTTTCCATGTCTTGGCCACCATGAATAATGCTGCAATGAACATAGGGGTGCATATATCTTTGTGAATATATGGTTTTGAGTTTTTTGGGTATATATCCAGGAGAGGGATTGCTGGATCGTATGGTAGCTCTATTCTTAATTTTCTGAGGAATCACCAGACTGCTTTCCATAGTGGTTGAACCAGTTTATGTTCCCACCAGCAGTAAATGAGGGCTCCCTTTTCTCAACAACCTCTCCAATACTTGTTATTGCTTGTCTTGTTGATAATAGCCACTCTAACAGGTGTGAGGTGGTATCTCGTAGTTTTGATTTGCATTTCCCTAATTGCTAGTGAGGTTGAACATCTTTTCATATATATATTGGCTGTTCATATGTCTTCTTGGGAGAAGTATCTATTCAGGTCCTCTGTCTACTTTCTGATTGGGTTGTTTGTTTGGTGTTGAGTTTTATCAGTTCTTTATATTTTGGATATTAAACCTTTTTTGGAGCTACTATTTGCAAGTATCATCTCCCATCTGGTTGGCTGTCTCATTGTTTTGCTGTCAGTTTCTTTTGCTGTACAGAAGCTTTAGTTTGATATAGTCCCATTCATTTATTTTCGCCTTTACTTTCCTTGCCTTTGGGGTCAAGATCATAAAATGTTCTCTATGACCAAGGTCCATAAGTTTGGTACCTATGTTTTCTTCTATGTAGCTAATTGTTTTGTGTCTTATATTTAAGTCTTTAACTCATTTTGAGTTAATTTTTGTACTGGGGACAAACTGTAATCCAGTTTCATTCTTTTGTGTGTGGCTTTCCAGTTTTCCAAGCACTATTTATTGAGTAAAGACTGTTTTTACTACATTGTGTGTTTCTGGCTCCTTTTTCAAAAATTATCTGCTCATATATATGTGATTTTATATGTGAGCTCTCACTTCTGTTTCACTGATCTGTCTGTTTCTGTACCAATACCATGCTGTTTTGATTATCATAGCTCTGTAATATAATTTGAAGTCAGGTAGTGTGATACCTCCAGCTTCATTCTTTTTTCTCAGGATTGCTTTGTCTATTCTGGGTCTTTTGTGGTTCCTTATAAATCTGATGATTTCTTGTTCTATTTCTTTAAAAAAATGACATTGGTATTTTGATGGGGATTATATTAAATCTGTATATTGCTTTGGGTAATATGGCCATTTTAATGGTTAATTCTTCCAGTTCATGAACATGGGATATTTTTCCATTTTGTTGTGTCTTTTTCAATCTCTTTTAATAATGCTTTGTAATTTTCAGTGTACAGATCTTTCACTTTCTTTGTTAAGTTTATTCCTAGGTATTTTATTCTTTTGATTGCAATTGCAAAAGGAATTTTGTTTTTTAATTTCTTTTTCTGAAGTTTTGTTTTTAGTATATAGGAAGGCAATGGATTTTTGTACATTGAATTTGTATCCTGCAACTTTCCTGTATTTGTTTATTGTTTCTAATAGTTTTTTGGTGGTGTCTTCAGGGTTTTCTATATACAGAATCATGTTCTCCACAAAAAGTGACAGTTTTACTTCTTCCTTCCCCATTTGGATACCTTTTATTTCTTCTTTCTTTTTTTTAAAGACATTTTATTTTATTTTTTTTAATCTTCACCTGAGGATATTTTTTACACTGCTTTTCAGAGAGACTGGAAGGTAGGGGTGGGGGGGAGAGAGAGAGAGAAACAGACATTGATGTGAGAGAGACACATTGATTGGTTACCTCTCACACACCCCGACCCCGACCAGGGCTGGGGATTGAGCCTGCAACCAAGGCACGTGCTCTTGGCCAGAATCAAACGTAGCCCCTTCAGTGCATGGGCTGACGCTCTAACCACTGAGCCAAGCAGACTAGGGCTGGATGACTTTCGTTTCTTTCTCTTGCCTTATTCCTCTGGCTAGGACTTCCATAACTATGTTGAATAAGAGTGGTGAGAGTGGACATCCTTGTCTTGTTCCTGATCTTAGAGGAAAAGCTTTCAGTTTTTTAGCATTGAGTAAGATATTAGCTGAGGATTTATGATACATGGCCTTTATTATGTTGAGGTACTTTCTGTTTATTGAGTGTTTTAATCATAAATGGATGTTGTATCTTATCAAATGCTTTTTCTGCATCTATTGATAAGATCATATGATTTTTATCCTTTCTTTTGTTAATGTGGTGCATTACATTGATTGATTTACGTGTTGAATAATCCTTGTGACCCTGGAATGAACCCCACTTGATTGTGATGTATTATTTTTGTGATGTACTGATGTACTTGATTTGCTAGTTTTTTGTTTAGGATTTTTGCATTTGTGTTCATCAGAGATATTGGTCTGTAGTTTTCTTTTTTTGTGTTATCCTTGCCAGGTTTTGGTCTCAGGGTTATATTGGCCTCATAAAAGGTGTTAGGAAGTATTGACTCTTCTTCAGTTTTTTAGAAGAGTTTGAGAAGAACAGGTTTTAAATCTTCTTTGAACATTTGGTAGAATTCACTAGTGAAGCCATCTGGTCCTAGACTTTTACTTTTTGGGAGGTTTTGGACGGCTGTTTCAATTTCCTCTCTGCTGATCAGACTATTTAGATTTTCTAGTTCTTCATGATTTAGTCTGGGAAGGTTATATATTTCTAGAAACTTATTTATTTCTTTATGTCATTGAATTTGGTGGCATATAGTCTTTTATAACATTCTAGTATGATCCTTTGTACATCTGTGATGTCTGTGGTGACTTCTCCTCTCTCATTTCTGATTTTGTTTATATAGCTCTTATCCCTTTTTTCCTTAGTGAGTTTAGCCAGGAGCTTGTTAATTTTATTATTCTTTTCAGAGAACCCGCTCTTTGTTTTATTAATTTTTTTGTATAGTCTCTTTGTTCTCTATTTCATTCAATTCTGCTCTAAATTTTATGATTTCCTTCTGATGTTGGGTTGCTTTTGTTCTTTTTCTAGTTCTTTAAGATGTGATATTAGGCTGTTTACTTGGGATTTCTCTTGTTTTTTGATGGCCTGTAATGATATAAACATCCCTCTTATTACTGCTTTTGCTGCGTCCCAGAAGTTTTGATATGTTATATTGTCATTCCCATTTGCCTCTCTATATCTTTTAATCCCATCTTTTATTTCTTCTTTGATCCAGTCACTTTTCAGTATGTTGTTTAATCTCCATGTATTTGTGGGTTTCTTTACTTTCTTTTTGCAGTTTATTTCTAATTTCAAGGCATCGTGGTCAGAGAATATGTTTGGTATAATTTCAGTCATTTTGAATTTGTTGGTGCTAGTTCTGTGACCCAGCATATGGTCTGTCCTTGAGAATGTTCCGTGTGCACTGGAGAAGAATGTGTAATCTGATATTCTGGGATGAAAGGCTCTGTAAATGTCAATTATGTCCATTTGATCAAGCATTTCATTTAAGGTTGATATTTCTTTATTGATTTTTTATTTAGTTAATCTGTTTAGAGCTGTCAATTGGGTATTTAGGTCCCCAACTATGATTGTGTTTTGATCTGTTTCTCCCTTTAGTTCTGTGAGTAGTTGCTTTATATATTTTGGTGGTCCCTGGTTGGGTGCATCTATATTAAGAAGTGTTATGTTTTCTTGATGTAGTGTCCCCTTTATCATTATCAAGCGTCCATCTTTGTCTCTTATTACCTTTGTTGTCTTGAAGTCTATTTTGTCAGATATAAGTATGGCTGCACCAGCTTTTCGGTGGATATTATTTGCTTGGAGAATCATTTTCCACCCTTTTACTTTGAATCTACCTTTGTCTTTGCAGCTTAGATATGTCTCTTGTAGGCAGTGTATGGTTGGGTTTTGTTTTTTGGTCCACTTTGCTACTCTGTGCCTCTTTATTGGTGAATTCAGACCATTTACTTTTAGGGTAATTATTGATGTATGGGGATTTCCTATAGTCATTTTATCTTTCGTTTTCTGGTAGCTCTGTGCCTCCATTGGTTCTTTTCCTTTGTACTATGTCTATTGCTTTTTTTTGGTGGTGTTTCATACTTCTCTCTGTGTCCTCTTTTTTTAAGCTTTTCTCTGTGTCTTCTTTTCTCTGGTTTGAGAATTTTTGTATGTGGTTACAATTAGGTTTGTAAAATATAAAGTTGCATATAGGTATTTACAGAGCTGCAATCTTGAAATCTCTCTCATTTATATCACATATTTTTATGTGTTCCAGCTTGCTTTCTGGCAGTTTTTCATTTTCTTTTTGATCATTCTCGTTACCATGGTTATTCGTGGTATTTGCTACTCTACTTTCTCTAGGCAAGAATAGCCCCTTCAGTAGCAGTGTTCTCTGAAGAGTTCTTTCTACTATTTTCCAGTAGATGGGGCTGAATCACCAGATTTTTTTTTAACCTCTCTGATCTCCCAGACTTGACCTCCATGGCTTCCGTCAGACAGTACAG